GGTTCAGCCAGTTTTCAGTCCATCACATAGTCCATTTGTCTAGCGTGTGCTTCATCTGCTTGTCTATGAGGATGTCATTTATGGGAGACAGTGTCAAAAGCCTTTCTAAAAACATCCACCACTCTCCCCTCATCCACCAAGCCCGTCATTGTGTTGTAGAAGTCTAACAGATAGGTCAAGCATGATTTCTCCTTCATAAATCCATGCTGACTGCCAATCACCTTGTCCGTCATATGTTTGGAAATCTTTTCCAGGATTAGTTGTTCCACCTCCCCAGGGATCAAGGTGAGGCTGACTGGCCTGTAGTTCCCCCGATTGACTTTTTTGAGGATTGGAGTGGCATATGCTTTCCTACAATCTTTCAGGAACCACAACTTTTCAAACATTAGTGAGAGCAACCTTGCAATGACATCAACCAGTTTACTCAGCACTTCTGGGTGCATCCCATCCGGTCCCATGGCTTTGTGTATATCTAGTTTATTTAATGTTCCCTAGATGTTCCTCTATTGAGGAGAATAGGAGGATACAAAAAAAAGGTGTTAGAATCAAATTGCTTCATTTTATGAAGTTTCTGAAGCAATTTGTTTAAACTTTTATACTTAGAAAAAAATAAGTAGTTGAGATTGCCACTTTTCCTTTTAAGATGTAAGGAAAATAAGACGTGAAATTTCGGCTTTTTTGTTCAAGTTTTCTTGGTACCTGACATCTCACATAGAAGTCAGTAGTATTTGGCAGATGTTTTGAAATTAGACTGCTTGTGTATATATTTTAATATGGATTTGATCTAATTATCTTTTTTTAAGAGGGTTAACGAAATGTCTTTGATTATTACAATAGAAAACCAAATAAGAACAGCAAAACTAACTTAAATCTGATAAGCTATGTATCTAAGAAATCATGAGATAAGAAAATGCATTTATTTTGCATGTCATTTTTCATATCTTAATTCAACTCATTTATTTTACCTACCTGGAAGAAAAATCCATGTGATATATTGGATATTACAGTAGCAGTTCTTCCAAACAGCCTAGAAGAGGCAAGGAGAGCAGAAGGCATGCATTTGTTACATTACTCCTAATTTTTCTCTCTTCTGTTGCAGCCTATCTGTATCATTAATCACTAGACCAGTACCATTAAGGTGTGGCTATAATTATATAAGCTTAATGACTTCAGCAAGTCATTAGTAATATGTGATTAAACAGGTAGTAGGAATAGCCAAAGCTGGTGGATGGTTTTAAGGCTAAATAAAATATGTTAATTTTAAAGATGGATCAGCTGCATGTAGTTGGCCACTAGAGCAAGGGGGCTGTTTCAAGTATAGGAGGTGGCATGAGCAAAGTTGCAAAGTCAGTATGGTATTAGCATGAAACACATACCCCTCTTCCAGTCCAGGTTGCCATATATGCTTGAGATCACCAGGTGCTGTCATTGGACTGTTAAAAAAAGGGTGTTTTTATTTATTTTTTTGCCCAGGTGTTAGAAGCATCTTGGATCTCAAAGAACAACCAACCGATATCAAAATTTATCAAAAGATAACCTACTTATCCCAAGCATTTCTTCCTCAGATATCTAAGTGTTCTAGCTTTCAAGTGTATGGATTACTAATAAAGATGAAATATTTGAATTTTACATAGCAAAAGTGAATGCTAGAAACAAAAGAGAATAATGTTCTCACTGTGTAAGATTACTAAAAACGAACATGGAAAGAGATTTTAACAATGGACTATAGATGCAACACACTTCTTTTGGCTCTTACCAAATATGTAGAGTACATAGGTGACTTTCTGAAGCCAGGTCACAGGAGCTGTAGAAAGAATACCTGTGGGTGAATTCTGAGTGTAATTTTTTTTTACTATGATGCCAATTGCAAAAGCCAGAGTTAACATTTTTAAAATCAGTTTAATAAATCACTCTATAACTATGTTAAAATTATGATTAAATAAAATTTGTTAATATAAGTCATTAAGTGAAATGATGATAATTGTTTATAGTTTACATTAATGAATTTATGTATTATACTATATTTAGAATTTGTGAATTATTTATAATGTCATGCCTTTATTAAATAAATCTGTTACTGGCTAACAAATAAAATTAAGTATATATTGCCTACACTTTATCTATGCATTACATTCTAATGAAATGTGCAATGTAATATGTGTGCATGAATGTGTTTGTGTGTATATAAATATGTAAATTACACACTCAGAATATTCAGAAGAAAGTGTTCTTAGCCTTAGTCTTCAAGAGAGGGAAAGCAATGGGGCTTGTAATTTAGAGTTATTGTTTTATTTTTCCCTATGCTTGACCTTGCAACAGCTTGCAGGTAACTAACAGTCAAGTAGAGCAATTGAACGGTAATTGTCTTCAGGAGGGACTAGCGGAAAATAAGATGTGACTGGTCCCAAATAACATTCATAAGAATTTCACTGTTTTTTGAGAGAAGATAAGTGTTTTCTCAAGTAAATTTTTTTTTCTACATGGAAAAAAATGTTTAAATTGAAGTATTAATGTAGTTGTTTTATAGGAAAATATTTTGTTGATAACATTCTAAATAAAAATGAGCAAACCTCAAATATATTCCATCCTAATCATACTTCCAATGGTGGCAATTTTTTGTGTGCAATCTTCCATTATAACAATCAACTGTCCTGAAAGACCTTCTGACAAAGAAGTGGTAAAGGAGAAAGCAGAGAAGATGTCTGATGTAATTACTGATATCATTATTGGATTTTGGCTCCTCAGTAATTTGAACCTTACTTATTTTCTGTAACTGAGCTAATGTTTTCATAATATTATGATCTTTCCTCTAACATGAGGCTTAATTATTTTAATTGTAAAAATTAAATATATAAATGTTAAATGTTTCATTTTCATAGAGGACTATATCAGATAAATGGAACAGCAGAAGCTGAATAGAATAAGTATTTTTTACACTAGACATCTATTGGCTTCAACAGATCTTTTTAACCAAAGACACAGGTAAGAGACATCTGCAAACTTTTTTTGAGTTATTGGGTGTGCAGTCCCTTACCAAACACACTGCAGACACTGCCTTAAGCGGAGCAGATGCTTCCAGCTTCAGAGATAGACGATGGCTACGATCACTCAGCTGAAAGTGCATGCTTGTCCAGCAGATCTAGTGGGCATCGTCAGCTGGGGAGAGTCCATGTTCAACGCCAGTCACTTCGATAATCGCCATCTGAAGATACAGAGTGATTGTCTGGCTGGAAATATGCTTTTAAAGCCTCTTAACGATGATTCTAATGGATTTGTCACAGAGAATTTTAAAGAGAGGTTAAAATTGGCTGTCATTCCACAGCATTTGAAAAAGGAATGAGCTCCTTTGGTAGGATCATATGATTTTGTTTAAAAATAACACTGAGCTACTGCCTTTTCAAAATGTATATCTGCAGCATCAGCTGGTTTGTTATCTGGTAAATTTAAAGGAGAAAAAAAATTAGAAGATGGCACATGATTTTATTTTTTATGGTTTCTCTGTTTTACTGTTTACTTGACCAGTTTATGCATGAACATAATGAAGGTGTACAGGTAAAAAGAGTAAGCTAGCACAATACTGAACTGTACAGTTGCCAGACACGACACCTGTGGATTTTTTTTTATAGAGCTATAAAATCACTTAAGCTAATAAAAATATTGTAAGCTTAGAAATAGTACTAAAATTAATAGCCTTTGTCCAGTTTTGGATGTATTTGGGGTTATTTCTGTTGTTGTTTTTGAACCATACCAAAGAAGTCTTTCTCAAATGTATTTTTCTATAATGTTAGGTTTAATAAGATATCCTTAAAACATGTGGAATTTAAAAGAAAATAATGTTCTTTCCACCAGAGCTTTCTCAATTTTCCTATGTGAAAGCTTTCCCAGGTGTGACTCCAGGTGGATCCAAGTATGCTGTATTAATAATAATGCAGGCTGCAGCTACCTCCATAAGCTTTGATCGGACCACATACCTAAAACTCAACTCTGTCAAGCATAAATCTAAATGTTTTGTTGGATTGCTGTCTTTAAATGGACACATATCTCCTTTTACACTAACATCTACAAACCTTGTTCACTTGAATTCCGTTAAACCCAGAAGTAGAGCACAAGTACAATGGTGTTCTAACAAGCAATTCATCAATGAGAGATGACTTTCTACGAAAAACAAACCAAACGAATACACTATCTTGCTACTTTGAAAGCATGATGGTCTTTATTAATTACTTCGAATTACCAGTTTCTACCCCATATTCCCAAAAAAGTTCATGTCTATAAAAGTGTCTACTATCTTCTCATTGTTGCCAAGTTCATCACAGTTAACCTTTGTTATCATTTTCATTAAGGGGATAAGCATTCTTTTCTTACATAAAAACTGTCTTCTATTTAAAACCATAGGAAAAAGAACTGAATAGTATATATATTTCTAAATGAAGCTACAGTAATTTTATTTTCCAAGCAATTATGTAAAGGCTAAAATAAATCATTCTTTCTAATAGAATAAGTTATCATAAATCACACCCTCTGATTACAAGAAAAAATGAAGCAAAATAGGCCATAATTTATTCTAAAATGTTGTCCCGGCAGGATGAAATGAACTTTCTTATGAAATCAAAAGGATCCCTAATACAGATACAATGGGTTATCTTAAAAAAAAAGAAAAAGTACCAAAATAGAAAATATAAAGTAGTTCTTTAAATATCAAACTCTGACATAAGAATATGTCAGGATTGAATCACCATATAGTGTTACATTAAGTTTACAATCTGATCTGATCACAATTGTCATAAATGTTGGATCTCTGTAGAGAGCATTGAAATATAGAAACTATGGTGGCAGATTCCAATAAGATGTTAATGCATCTCTCCTTAAAAACCAATATTTATCTAAATTTTGATCTATTGTCGTAGTTCTCTTTAGTAATGATATATGTGAACTCAAAGGTATATTATGGAAGATTAAGCGACTTGCAAAGTACAATATTTACTTCATCAAATCCTTAGTGAAAAACTTAAAATGTTTTGAGAGTAACATATTTTGGAACAACATTTTTTCATTTCATCCTTAGATAAGGCACAGAGTTAAGATATGATAATTTACACTTTCTGCTAAACTTTTCATTCCAGAGTTCTGCGATTCAAATTCACTTAAAGTATTCCTACTTTAAGTCATATCAGCTTTATTCCTCTCTTGCTATTTTTGTATTCTTTCAATAGATTAGTTATACAGCCTCTCACAGCTTAAGTGTAAATAGAACAATTAACAGAATATGTATATGGAAATGTAAATCAATAGAAGTGGAAATTGTCAGAAAATATAAAGAATATAAATCTGATAATGTTAACTCAAAAATGGTTTTCCAGTTCTTCAGAAATAAATCTCTCAAAATGAGGAGCTAATCTCTTTCTTACTCATAAGGTACTTTTTCATTCAAATGAAAATAATGCTAACATTTGGATGGTTCTGCTCTTCCACTGGACAGAAATCTTGCCACTCAACTCCATTGCTCATTTTTAGGTTCAAAATGGAAACTCTGTTTAAGACTTTCCATGATGTATTCTGTACTTTCCAAGGGATTGTTCACATACCTCTTGTTCTTTTTTCTCATACTGTGATCTTACAGACATGCTCTATGTCTTCATATCTTACTTTTGCGTGCTGGGAACCAATACTGCCAATTCTGTTTCTGTTCCCAAGTATTTATTTTATTTGTAGAATAAAAGAAATGAGAATGTTATGAGGAATCTTTTGATATTTCATAGAATGTTTTTTTTCAGAAACAGTTCTAAGAAATACTGTACTTCAGATAAACTCTTACTGGGTTAGGATTTGCCTCCATATGGTATATTTATATGTCATTTAAACATAAACCATACATAGAAGGAGACAGCTCAACTGAAAAGTCAAGTTTCAGTGATAGGGCTACTTCTGAGAAAAGATTTTGACCTTCTAAGTTATTAATGGTTTTGAATATAGGAGACTAAAGGCACATTCCCTCTAAAAAGTGGATCATATTAAGCTTTCTCAAAGACAATCTCTTCAAAGCACTTGACTTTTTCCAAAATTCTGAATTTTCAATTTACTTATCATTTAGGGACAATGAAATAGGAAATACCAATGAAAATGGGAGAAAATGAAGACAACCAAATTGTAGAAGCAGGGGGCATATTTATAGTGATATAGCATAGTGCAGAGATTCCCAGCCTTATTTATAATTATAGCAACATATCTGCCTCAGTACCACACTAAATGGCTATAATGTATGGCCTAAAGCAGTATCTGCTTGAGACTGCATAGCCTTGTCATGTTACCCAGGTGCAGATTTACTAGGAAGGTTAGGTGCAGTTTATGTCTCGGGGTCTTCAGAGCTGTGGGCCTGATGTAGAAATGATAAAGCTATGCTGCCATTCAGGGACTGGAAATTACGTCACCCTCCTACTAAAATTCATCCTGTAAGTCCACCTCGTCATTTGACTCAAGACAGGGACGTGACCCTATTGTCACTTGCATCACTGCTGAATTCTCCTGCGACACAGCTGTACCAGCCTGCCACAAGCTTGTGCAAGAATCTCTGACACAGAGGTAGCTTGAGTCAAAAAGACATGCCCTGAATTTCAGTTTTTGAATCATTTTGGAATATATGAAACTCACAAAACAGACTTTACGCATATTGCAAATGATATAAGCTAAAAAAACTGCAAACTGTAGTCACCCCATTAAATCTGCAATTCACCATCACACAAGTAAATCTGCAGTTCTGTATTGGTATAAAGTGTTATTTATTGTTATAGTGAACAGCTTTCCTAATTAAAATGACAGCTCTGCTCGTATTTGGTCCACATTAAAATTAATAGCAAGAGAATAAAGCACGCCAAATAAAAGTTAGTGAATAATTAATACAAAACACAAAAGTGCACACCCATATTAATGGAACTGCAGTCAAGATCAAACTGGAATACACAACTTTTCTCAGCAATCTGCCAGTCATGCGAAATCACTGTAAGAGACAGGTGATTGGAGTTCTGCAATTACCACCAGAAACTTTCTGGGACCTCTATAATATTTCTGCCGAGTTTTTTTTTTTTTTTCTTTCTATGCCTACTTTTTTGTTTCTGACTGCTATCCTATTTTCTGTTGTCTTCCACTGGCTGCACTGGACACTTGCCTAGTTCAGGCATTGTGATGAGAAGATCAGAGCTACTGCTCTTCCACAAGATAAATATTTACAACAATCTCCTTAAAATTTTCTTTTTCTTTTTTCCCCTTCGCTGATAGCTTATCTCTCCATAGTTTACTGAATCAGCACATGCAGTTCTACTGTGAGAGTCACACATTATCCCGCAGTTTTTTAATCAGCTCTCTGGACATTGGTAAATTTCTAATTCTATGTCCCTGGAAACCAGATTATACTGGGGAGAGGGGGAGGAGGAAACAAAGAAGCAGGGAAACAGAAAGGGAATACACAGAGAGAGAGCACAGTTACAAGTTTTTCATTGTGTGTGTTTTTTTTATTTTTTTAATCAGACTATGACAGCTTTTGGTTTCTTTAATCTTGTTTTAATCAATATATGGCATGGCATGTGACAGGCAAGCCTAAAAACATTTTGAGGATCAGTGGAGGTAAACATCCAAAATGTAAATTCTTATTTTAAGCTCATACAATAACATTTGGTCTAGTTTTAAAGGGAGAAGTGGATGGGAAACCATCAACACAGAGGTCTTGGTTAAGATTATTCTTATGATCTGCGCATAAAATGGGGAATCAGAAGGACCACGTTATATTCCCAGACCTGCCAATGCTTACTGACTTTCCATAGCTCAGTCAATAAAACTTTCTCTTCCTCTGTTTCCTGCCTGCAGGCTATGAATATGCAAATAGACATCCCATCTTCAAGGAGCATCCAGGGACCTCCAGGCTGCTAGTCAGCCTCACCCTAGCAGTGTGCCTCTATAGTGAAGAAGGCTACCCACATACTGGGCTACCCTAGCAAGGCCATAGGCAAAAGGTCAAGGAAAGTGGCCTGCTTCCACTCTGTTTAGCGCTTGTGAGACTGCAGGTGGACTATTATGTCCCATTTTGGGCTTTCCACTACAGAAGACATTGACATGCTAGAGTGAGCCTGGAGCATGTGACATAGGAGGACAGGCTGAGCTAGTTTTGTCCAGCCTTAGGCGGAGATGACTAAGGGGGAATCTCTTGTTGTC